TTACCTGCCTCTCTGACAGTGGGGAAGGGAAGGCGAGCTGCCAGCGGACAGAGAAGTCCCTGGGCTGCGTGGGGGCTGGTGCTTCCCTCCACATCAGCAGCAGCCCTCTCCACCAGGCGGCACCAGCCTGAAGGCACCCAGCTCGGGCAGTCCCAGGGGGCACCGCAGCCACAGAGGGAAGCACCGGGCCCCCGCACAGCTCAGACAAGCAGGCAAGCTCTTGGCGGGGAAACTAAAAAAAAAAAGATCAGGCTCACCACTTTTCTCAGGCAGAGCCTGCTTTCCCAGGCTGCTGCCAGGCTGCCTGCAGGGCTTTCTGCAGAGCCACACGGAGCCCAGTGCTTCGCTCTGCAACTGTAACGGCAGCAAACTAAAACTCCTCGGAGGAGTTTTAGTTTGCTGCACCTCAAGTCAGCAGCATTACACCACTGGATTTCCTACAGCAGCTGGAATTAATGTGCAGTATGCTCCCAAGGCGTGCAAACATGGACACCATTAAAGTGGTGTAAAAGCATTTAGCCCGCTTTAAAGTGTTGTGCATGCATGCCCCTCGTTTTGTCTACACATTGCCCTCAATTCTAATTCCTGATATAGATTAGGCAGGGAGGGGGTTCATTAAAACCACATCTCCCTCACCCCTGAGAGCAATCTAACCATTATCTTGTTCCTCCTTTCTGCTGGCTTTCTTAAACTAGATATTTGCTTTTTATTAAGAATGATCATAAATTAAACAAAACAATTTGTTTGAACTTCCTTGAAATATTTGTGTTAACCCAAAAGGAACTGCTTAGTTTCCCCAAGCTGTCCTGAAGCCAAAGTTCCTCTTTGATGTTTTGGTTTGGCCACCAGAGCAAAACAAAAAATAATCAGTTATTCGCACAGCTCTCACTAGGGATGAAAATAATATTGACTGGAAAAAAAAAATCTCAAAAGGTTATAATTTCAACATTGGCTTTAAATTTTAAACCAAAGTTTTAATGGTGTTTCTTTATGCACTGAACACCAATTTATAATAAATCACAGGATTGCGCTGTTCTAAGTAACACACTGAAGTAATCTGTGAAAATAAACATTTCTTTTATTTTACATACCAAACAAAATATTTTCCCCTCTTGGTGTCCTAGCTGCACCTACAAAATCCAAACTCTTGTAATCATTCACTGTTCTGAGTCTGAGGGTTGGTTTATTTTGATTAAAACTTCACCAAGTGGCTCATGCAGATAAGGTGCCATATATTCCTCCAGTTTACCTGCTCAAAACCAGCCCAAGTCTGAGAGAAAGCAGACTGCTGCCTGACTGCTGTCATGACCTATGCCAAATACATTTACACAATATTTCTAGTCCCTAGGAAACATATGATCACCATGCCACTGCTCTCCTATAGATCTGTCCCTTGGATAAGACGGATTTTCCTATTTCTAGTGCCTTCTCGTTATTTTCCTCCTTCCCTCTATACATTTTCCTCATTCACTCCTTTTTGGTTCTCTTCTCCTCCCCCTCGCTGCTACCCTCTCTCTCTCTTTCACCTCGGCCTATCTTCCATGCACTATATTTATCCCTGCCTGTGGGGCAAGCATACTAATTACCAGGGATCCAGGTTTTCTGTTTCCCATGGAAAAACAGCGTAAACTGCAGATTTTACCTTTTACCAGAGGCAAACATGGATTTCTCATTTTACAAGAGAAAATCGCAGATTTTGCCATCTTGCAATGAGCTCCCTGCAGGCTGGAACTCTGCCAGACTGTGGGCTTGGGTTCCCTCCCTGCTTCCTTCTCCTAGGGCCTCTGAAGCCTGGACGGCACAACCCAGCACAGCTGGGGACAGCAGGGCCACGCGGCAACCTCCTTGCCACTGCTCACCCCCCCACTGCGCTTCCTGAACCCGCCACTGCTTTGAGGGGTGCAGCCCCATGCTGCTGCCCTCACTGCAGCCCCATGCGCAAGAGATGCGTTGATGGGACCACGTAGGGCAAGCAGTGGTGAGATCCCCACGGGGGCAAGCAGCAGCGAGGAGACCCCCATGTGGCTCTGCTGCTGCCTGCCATGCTGGGTTGTGCCCAGTGGGCTCTGGAGCTCCCAGGGGAGGGAAGCAGAGCAGCAGGGAACAGTGGAGCCACGTGGAGAAGCTGCTAGTCGCTGTTCCCTGCCACCCTGCTTCCCGCCTCCAGAGCCCAGCGGGCATGACCCAGTGCAGCAGGCAGCAGCGGAGCCATGTGGAGAACCTCCATGCCACTGCTCACCCCATGCTGCCCCAGCAACATGCCTCCTGCATCTAGGGCTGTAGTGAGGGCAGTGGCACAGGGCTGTGACCCTCAAAGCAGTGGCAGGCATAGAAGATGCAGTGGGGGTGTGAGCAGTAGCAAGGAGATCCCTGCGTGGCCCCGCTCTCCCCAGCCATACCAGATCATGCCCGCCAGGCTCCGGAGGCCCCGAGGGAGTGAAGCAGAGTGGTAGCCCGAATCTGCAGCCTGTGCCTGCCCTGCATACAGATCCAGGGGGCGTAGGTCCCCTCTGCCCCCTGGGAGTGTGTGTGCCAGCAGGGAGCCAGCCTGCCCAAGCCTGCAGGAGTGCAGAAGTGGGGGCAGAGGGCTGTGGGCCTGGGTCCATAGCCCTGGCAGTTGGGGGCCCCTTCCAGTAGGATTGGGGAAGCAGGGGCTCTGGGTGGGGGGCAAGGGGTACCAGCAAGGCTGTGGGGGGAGAGTGAGGGGCACCAGCAGGGCCAGGGGGGCTGTGGGGGAACTTTAATTTTAATCACGGATTTTGAGGGTTTTAGCAGAGAATTTGGTATTTTTTAGCAGAGAATTTGGTATTTTTTTACCAGGACCAGGATCCCTGCTAATTACTCCACAACTGCGTGGAGATCAACTTCAGTCTGTACTAAGTGGAGTCGGAAATGCAACAGAGGATCAGGCCCATGAGCAGGAATAGCCACTATGGTACAAAGGTGCAACAAAGCAGCTAGATGCCTGGGGTAGCAGGACACAAGGGGGCAGCACAGAAAGTGCAGACAGAAGTGACAATTTTTGCCCCGTTTGGCCCCTGAAAGTGCTCTACAGCCTTGACCAAACACAAGTGCACAGCTGCAGAGCTCTTTAAAAGGGCTTGATCCCATGACAATGTGAACCCTCATTGCAGGAGGGTTCAAATGAAGATGCTCAAAAAAAGATCACCTTCATTAACATCTGTCTGCACATGCTGGGAGCAGGAGTGGGCTAACAGCTCAGCCCTTCTCCCAGTGCTGTCTTCATAATGGGAGAGGGGAAGGGAGCAGAGGGAGTTTGGTCTGGGGTTTTTTCTGCCAGCAGTGGGGAGAGGGGCAGGGAGCTCCAATCCACCCAACCTACCCTCCCAGCTGAAAAAACCCTAGACCAAACTCCCTTTCCCCCCCAATCTGAAGACAGAGCCAGGACTGGGAGGCGGGAGGGACCTGGGTCCCTCCTTGCCACTACTAGACAGGGAGAGCAGCTGCAGACTCACAGCCGCTCCAAATTGCAGATAAATCCCCCAATCCCTGGGACCCAATAGAGAACATCTGTTGGGTCCGGGGAAATCGCTGTAACTCATTGTGCTTCCTGCAAAATGCTATGAGTTACAGCAGAAACCTGCACTTCTCTCTGCACCTTGAGCTCTAGCTGCCACCATGCTGTCAATGCAATTGTGTGGCTGTGGAAGCAGTTTCTAAGTTGGCACCTGAGCTGTCCCTTTGTTCTTCACTGGATCTCTCTTGATTGACACAGTTATACTTTCCTGAATTTGGGCTTGATACTTTACAGGGTTGGGCCCTAAATGCCAATTTAAATTTGTTGTTTGCCAAAGGGATTCTCACATATTCAGTCCAGCAGGGCACAAATACAATGCTTTCTGCTTAATAAGCCTTTAGTTTCCCATTTCATTTATTTAACTAACACAGTTCTACCAAAATTAAAACATTCTCCTTCTAGTAAAAAGGGAGAGAGACCGCTTTTCCAGAACCACTGGATAGTATCTTAAGTCATAATTGGCAGACACATGTGAATGGCTCTGTAACTATACCACATATAACTACATTTCTCTCCCAGCATGATTCCTACTCTGTTCAAAGGGGTTTCAAAAATGAAACTTCAGTTACTTGAAGAAGCTGCTAGTAGTCACAAAAACACAATGTTTTCTAATATTGATGTAGTGTTTAGAAAAAGGGGGAAAAGGAATTAAGACTGCAGAGAAGACCCCATGGATGGAGAAGATGATCCAGAGAAAAAAAGTTTACCAATTATGGAACACTATTCTAACTTGAGGGGTGAAACGGTCTCTATTTGAGAAACCTATCTTCTAGGTCTTTAACTAGCTGGGACTGTCAGAATCACTTTAAATTAGAAACTAAGGGAAAAATTACAGAAACAAAAGGAACAAGTCTGAATAGGACCTCCCTTTTCCAAAATCATAGCAGAGATTTTCTATTGAGTTTTTCTAAAAAACAGCCCAGATTCTGCCATCTATTACCCCAGAGTAGGTCTAGAATGATCTCATTAACTTCAGTGGTATGAAAGAGGTCAGAATTTGGTTCCAAGTCTGCCTCTTCCTTCCAATTCAGCTATAAGACTAAAAGCAAGGTCAATTTTTCTGAACATAAGAGCATAGAGTGAGCAGTACTGAACTCAAAATCACTTCAGCCAATAGGGCTGCTAAAAAACCAAAGCAACATTTACTATAATTTTCTCTTGAACAATATCTATCTCACTTGGGGCCCTGCTAAATATTCAGATTAAAGCAGGATAAGAAACCAGTTATTAAATTGTTACACATTTTCAAGCATTAACTTTGTAGCTAACTGGTTCTGTTTATAGCTTGATAGTCATTTTTATGGTATGCTAATTATTTTGCATGTGTGGCTGCTGTAAATTTATTGTATGATTAACCCATTAATTGTGTGATAATTACTTTTCACATGTGGCCAGTATAAATTTATTACACGATTAACCAGTTAATTGTGTGATATATGTAATGTGTAGCAGGGGCCTTGGAGTGAGACAGCTTCCAGACTCAGATTTATATGCCCTGCATATATGGACTGTTTTAATTTATACACACAAGCAACTAGTCTCATTCATACAAATTATGATTCAGGCAAATTCTCCTCTAAGAAAACCCATACAAATCTAAGTTCCATTTAATAAATGTGAGATGGGATCTGCATCACAGAAATAACAGAAGTATTTAGAAGGAAAAATGGAAGCTTAAAAGGCACATTACTTTGCTCATTAAGGACAAGGTCCTACCAACAAAAAGCTCACACCAAACACTCACAACATCATTATTTAATATTTTCTACCTAAGTTTCAAATGCTTCTGGCCATCCTATTACAGCTGACATCCAAGTACTGCAGAATGTCTAAATAAAAATTATATTGTGTATTTTGGGTATCTAAATGACCTAATTTGTACACATGGAATATGTGCTGAAATCTGCAAGTTCCAGCTTGGATGCCAGCTGTAAAGCCAGTTAAAGATTGGCCTGCAAAGCTACAGCAGATCATATATAACCTCATAAAGATTTACTATCTTTTTCTGTAATATTTCAAGTAAAAGTCTTCAAACAAAAATAATGCATTAAGAGCTATACACACCTGTAGTATCTTAGCTGCAAAGAACTCCCCATAAGCAACATGATTGTGTTTGCGGACCATCTGCAAGTCATTTTAGTCAAGTACCCATCAGTTTCACATGTGATATTGATATTGACATCTATGTAAAACACATTGAAAACATTAATATAAAACATAGATAAGACTGTTAATACACAAAAATATGAATTACAACTCGCTATCAACTGCTAAAGGCTGAATGGAATTTTAAACTGAAGCATTCCAACCATATAAAGTTCTGAAGTTCTTGGTAAAATTGAAAGCATCTTGAATCTTACCTACTACATATAATTCAGCATATCTGTGATGACATTCCCTACTTTGATGACAACAGTACAACGCATTATAGAAGAATGTTCCTCTAGGTTTTGTTGCATTCAAGTTGAAAAGCGTAACTTTGCTTATGTGATCATTCACAAGTGTGTACTGACTTTCTGGGATTTCTTCTGCTAAATTTAGCCACCAAACAATCTTCTTGGACAAAACAATCTGATTTTTGTTAATATAGATGCAGTGAAACGAAACATTAGAACCAACACTTGTCAGTATCTTACGAGGAAAGTACATGACTTCTGTTACGGGAGAAAAGAAAACAAAGAAAGAAAAAAAAAAACCCTTGTGAGAAATGAAAATTCAAAGAAGAAAAAGTAGCTTTAGAAAATCATTTAATGATTCAAAATATTCACTGTTTTTAAAGAAAAAGTAGCTTTAGAAAATCATTTAATGATTCAAAATATTTACTGTTTTGAACCTAGCTCCTAAACAAAGAAATCCAACCCTCCCAGTGTGATGAGAATTAATGAATATTGGAACAGCTGCAGAAGACCCAATTACTTTTTTGTAATTACTTTTATCTATCAGACATATATGGACAAGTACCTTCTATATTTCCAATCACACCAGAATGAAATGACAAGAGGTTACAGGGCCTACAGCATAGTCTTACACATACAGTAAATTTTCATGTACTTTTCAGTGCACTTTTTTGAAAATGTTGGACCTTTGTCAATAGGTGTTTTCACACTTCAGACAAATAGCCATTTTAATGCTGCAGTAGTTATTTTTCAAGCTAAAACTATGTAGCGCTTTTCATGCAAATACACACATGCAATTAATTTTATAACAAACCATTAGAAATGTACACATGCTCTCAATTAAAATAATTAATTAAGTCATTGCGAGACAAATCAAGTTTGCATTTGGAAAAATCCACTAAAATTGGCTATTCTCTGAGTGCCAACAGCATATAAAATGATGAAGACATATTAATAGAATGATTACACTCATATTTGAATATTAACTCAAAGATGCATGATGAAAAAAGACAGTACAATATTAGGTCTTATGCTTATAGTGCATGTACACGGTATGCTAAAACATGTTAGTTACTTTGCAGAAGCACCCATCACGCACTTAATACATCGTTGACCTACCTTAGAACATTCAACAGTGCATTATTGAGTGGTGTCTAAAAGTCTGAAAGTGTAAGTCTTCAAAAAGATGCATAATGAGCTTTTGTAAATATTTCATATCTGTGCTTTTCACACAAGAAGCACAAATTTTCAGAACTCTATTATAGTAAAGAAGCAAAAATCCAGGGGTAACTTATGCAACAGTACATAAAGTGGAACAAATTATTTATTGTGAAGACAAAATGACAAAAATCAAATCAACACTGTACAATTTTATACATGGTAAAAAACACAATGGACACAGCTATCGGATAAATAAGAGCAAGCTGGGAAACATTTATGGCAAGTGGGAAAATATCCAGTCAAACTAAATTTCTGAATAGAAGATTATACTAGCAACATGTAGGACAACATTTTCAGGCAACATCTCAGCAGCCTTGTCTCCCTGATCCTGTGTTCTCTGAAATCAAGAGTGAAGTTCTCACTAACTGTGGCATAGCAAAATCAGGCCCTACAACAGTTACTGAAACTGGACCACAGCCAGGATCTAATCCTGACTGTATCAAATTAATCAGAGTTGTATTCTTACCAAGGAGATTATAAACCATTTTTGAAGTAGCCAAACAAATGGGGGCTAATGAACAAAAAACCAGTACACCAGCTCACCAACATCTTGATTCCAATTTTGCAAACTGCATAAAAGTATGTAAGGCCATTCCTAGCCAGCCATTCACTAATAGGAGTAAAGCCAGGAGTAGGCAATTATTTCAGCTGGAGGATTGCTTAATGAGTTCTGGTGAGCTGTTTGTCCTGATTTACGTTTTTGAGTGGTGTATACAGAGGTGATTGCATCATAGTTCAAAATAAGTCTTAATCTTGTATATTGTGGGGTGAAGGATGGGCATGTGGGGTAGGTGTGCGGGGCGGGGGGCTACCCACATGGTAGGACCTGAGAGATGGCTGTAAGTGGGGGGACTGAGGGAAGGACAGGGGGCTCGTGCAGCAGAGTTTGCCTGGGCAGTACAGGTGCAGTGTGACCTGTCCCCCAGTCCACCCCATGACTGCCCCCGCAGTGTTTCACATGGGGCTGAGCCCCGTCCACGGCAGCTTGCACTGTGCTCCTGCCTGCCTCAGCCCCAGCCAGCAAGCACAGCTTCCCAGCAGGTCTGCTCCCAGTGCAGCTGCAGCTGCCCAGGTCCTGCTCAGCCCCCTCACCTCCAGCAGCTCCTCCTCCTGCCCCTGCTGCACCACTGTGGGCAGCAGGCAGCGCAGGGAAGCCATGAGGACATGCGCCAGACAGTAAATGCCCAGCCAGTTGAGGGGGAAGCTGCAGCCAGGCAGCTCCTGCCCCAGCACATAAGGCTCCTACCTGCAGGTGACTGCTCATTGCACTGGGCAGGAAAAGTAGGTGGAAGGCATCCAGGAGCTGAAGCCCCGGCACGCTGGGGCAGGAGCTGCCCAACTACAGCTTCCTCACTCCACCTGGCTGGGCATCTGCTGCCCAGTTAATGTCCCCACAGGTTCCCTGCACTGGCAACTGCCCAGAGCGCTGCAGCAGGGGCAGGAGGAGGAAGAGGAGAAGCCACTGGAGGCAGGGTTATTGAGTAGTACTTGAGTGGATGCTGTAGCAGTGGGAGCAGCCCCGCTGGGAACCTCTGTGCACTGACAGAGGCCAGGGCAGGGTAGACAGGAGATCACTGCATAGGCTGACCTGGGCAGCAGCAGGTGGGGCTCGGCCCCATGCAGAACATCGCGGGCCAGATGCAATCAATTGTTGGGAGCCAGATCCAATCAGTTGAAGGGCCAGATCCAGGCCAGGGGCTGTATTTTGCCCACCCTGCGTTAAACACATGCTGGAGTATATTAAAAAAAAAAAAAAAGCAGTGTATGAAGCACCTAATAAAACAGATTTGACCTTCAGTGGTGCAGAAGCTTCCATAGAAACTACTGGGGTCAGTTGCAAATTAAAGTATCCTTTGAATAGCATTGCAAAACACCATCACTTTGGTATCAGCATAGATGTTCTGATTATAAACAGCCCTAAATATAATGCTTATCAGCCATACAAAAATATAACTGTGATTTCAGAAGTGTTAATCTACTTGCATGAATGCAAAGCAACCTCTTTGTTACCAGTCTCTTTGTTGCTACCAACTGTGCTGCTGGTTGCGCTGTTCTTCCATTGGTTAATACTAACATTACTCATTTGGAAAATGGGCCAATTTATGTCTCCTGCAGCGAAAAAATTACTCACTCTAAGGCTGTCATCAGGCTCATCACAACATGACTTTCTGTCAGTGAAATGAGTATTTAATACAATTAATAACAGGATGTTAAATAAAGAGATATATCTACTGCATCTCGGTGTTTTCGATGAATTGTGTATACTTTGAGATATGCCTGCAACCTTTCCGAATGTGTGTATATATATATGTGCAGCCATATACACATGCATATTTATAATTATGTCGTTATTTAGAGCTACAGTATGGTATATGTATGTACAGAATGAGTGCCTAAAATTAAGCACCCAATGCCAAATGTAGGCATGTAATTAACCAACCTGGTAATGAAAAGGTTCAGAGGACCTTTGAAGACAGCCTCCTTAAAGACATGAAATTAGTAATTTGGACATCTAATTTTAGACTTCCGTGGTAGACCATTTTGACCATGGAGTTTGCACACAAATGCAGAACCTTGTTTGTGAAGTACACATATATGCCTGTATATTCAAACAATGACTACGCAGATAACTTTAGCAAGAGTCACTGAAATAAATTGAGAGACTAATGTTGAAAATGTCATGGGAAAACATGAGAAATATCCCTCACTTACAAGAAAAAGGGCAATTTGCAAAGTCAGTCAACTGTTATAATGACTATGTAACAATTCAGAATAACAGAGCTAGTAAGCTCTATTGTTTTAGGATCATCCTCCAGCTGACAGATTTAACTGACTCCAGAGGAGCCAATACTGTGCAACATGTCAAGAATATTTGTTTTATAAGTCTTAAATTATTCATTCATGTGTGTAATAATCATATTTTTAATTATGATGGTTTGCATTTTACATGCAAGTCTTTGCTAGCTCTGAAACCATTTAACTTCTTATACTATTGGACAATTAAAACAAAACCTGAACTAGAAAAGACAGGTTAGGTGTGTATGTGTGCATTTATAAACACACACATGCATAGCATACTTGTGTGTGCGTGTGTATGTTCATCAGGCCTTTGAGGAGTGGCAAGTATTCACTTCAGATTCAGCTGATTTGGAGGACAGTGATTCATTTTGGAGATTCGAATCGCTGTCTTGATTCGATACAGTAGAATCAGATCCAAAAGATTCAGCACCGCTTCGGAGATTCGGCCATAGACTAAACAGGCAGCTGACACAGCTGCCTCCAGCTGGTAAGTCTGTTGCGGTTGGGGGAGGGAAGGGGTGTGGGGGAGGGAGGAATTGGGGTTGGGGTTGGGAAAAGCTGCCTAGCTGGGGCCAGGGGGTGTGTTACTCAGGGAGGAGGGGCAGGGGATGCCTTGCACAGCAGTGCTCAGAACGCCTGAAAGCCTATTAACAGAATGATCTCATATTAGCTTTTTTCATAAGGAAACCAGAACCAGAAAGTAAGGTCTATAAGCAGAGAAGAGTAGTGAAAGGATCTTAGACCCTGGGGTCATGGACTTTAGAATTCTGACCAAGTCCCAAATAATATCAAACAGCTTCAAGAAAAGTAGGGCAAGGAACAGTGGGAATGGTATAGCTGCGATGGTCAAGGAGACATGCAAGAAGAAAGGGCGTTTTCAGCAATATCTTTTATTGGAACAACTGTATGGTTGGGAGAAATGTTAGACAAGCTTTTGGGCACAAAATTCCATTATTCAAGTGACCCAAAAGCTTGTCTAAAATCACTCTCAACTATACAGTTAATCCAAAAAATACTTTGCTTCTCACAATGAATGGTGAACTTTCTAGTGGTGCTTACCAGATTTGCCTAGATCTTTAATTTAAAGTTTAATTAGTTTAGAAATTCCTCTGCAAAGTCTGTTATTGGCTTCAACTATCATAAAGGAATTCAGAACTGGCCTTGCAGCTTGAGCAGTTGTACTGTGGGGTCGGTCCTACTTCTGAAGACAGATATGACACAGAGACTGCATGCCCACAAACTGAGGCTAGAGGATAAGGAAACTCACCCAAACAACAGAAAGCTAAAAAGTGCTGGGGGGATCCAAAGCACAGCGCCCCAATCCCACAATGGGGATCTCAAAGATGTGCAATGGGATTATTAGAGGAAATATATGATATGACACCAGAATCTCCAATGGGCCAGGTATTATTTTGCAAATGACAATATATTATCATAAGATTTGTAACCAAATCTTAGTACACCCTTTAGAGAATTTACTATGCATGCTTGTTACCTAATCCACTGTAGTACAGGCAGTCCTCGATTTACAATGTTTTGAATTACAATGTGTCACACTTACAACATTTATAAATTGACACCCTGTTTCAACCTTATGACGTCAGTTTCGACTTTACAACGCTTGATCCGATGCGACGCCACGCCTGCGAACAAGTTGGCTGCGTTGTTCATCTCCCTGGAGAACATCTATCCAAACTTCCTTGGACACTTTCTTTAAGAAAGCGGACAAGACTCCACAAAAACCTGCAGGCAAGACTCCTAAGAAGACTCCAGCCAAGAACCCTTCAAAAAGTCCAACCAAGACCCTTTCAAAAAAGTCGAGCAAAGTCACCTCAAAGAAGTCCTTCCAAACCAATATGATTGCTATTTACAATATAAATATATTAATGTAGCTATATTACTCATCTATATTTGATTGAGTACAAAATTCTGCGGTATTTTTGGTGAAAATAGGGTATTGGGCCTTGGTTCAGGAACCAATCCCCCATTTATAACATTGTTTCTTATGAGAAAATTGGTTCCAAGTTACAACCTTTCCACTTAAGACACGGTTTTCAGGAACCAATTGTGTTGCAAGTCCGAGGACTGCCTGTATTTTGTATTATAATGGCTACTAAGTAAAGCACATTAAATAATAGATGCACACATGTATTCATTTCCACAAAATAAACAATTGCATTCCAAACAATGGCTATTTAAATTACTGTATATGACGTACCTTCTGTGTTTAAACTGTATGGTGTGCTCCACTCACTCCAGAATCCCAGACCATGAAGACGCTTGCACCGTACTTGAACTAAATATGAAGAACCAAGCAGTGTATCATCTATAGTCAGGGAATTTTCTAAGACAGTCTTAACCACCTGTTAAGTTATCAGAAGCCATTATTATTTTGTGACACATCACAAGAATGGAGGAGTCAAAGGAACAAATAGAGTTTTAGTCTAAAAGAACTGTTTATTCAAAGTTTTAGTAAGTCACAAGTCAGTAGAAAATAGTTACAATATTTAGATGGGTTTTATTAAACATTTGATCCTCTTATACCACAGACAGAAACAGTGTGTGCTGTAATTGTAATTCATTAATAAATACAACACACACACAAAATGAGTGAAAACCTAGCTGCAGTGAAGGTAAAGGAAACTTTGCTTTTAACTTCAAAAGGGCTAAAATCCTGCCCAGGAAGAGGGAGTAGTGGAGATTAGTGGGTGTGTTGGTATGCAAGTAGATGGTACTTTGTTCCACATTAAAAGTCGGAGACTTACAGGATTCCAGTCCTTTAACTCATTCAGCAGAGACAAGTGCTTCGAATGCTGTAAGTTTTGAATTCAAAGCCCACTGCTGATTTCAGCAGGTTTAGTGAAACAGGAACTAGCAGCTGCCCTAGGCTAGGGACACAAGTTACACATAAACTGGTTTAAGTGATCAGTCACTAGTTTAAACCTGTAACAGAGGTTTAAACCAGAGACCTCAGGGGCAACAGGAAGAGGAAGCGAACACTTCCCAGGCTGTATTTATAATTTTTAGCTTATAGTTTGTCAGAGAAACAAGTATTCTTGTTCAAGCTTTTATGAATTCAGTGCTATCACCTTCCCCTGCCCTGACCCAGGCAGAGCATGGGCTGGGGCCTGGCCATGCCTTCTGCTCCAGCAGCAAGGGGGAAAAAGCCTTGGAGTGGCTGTCAGGCATGCTCTAGTGCCCCCCGGCTTCTGGCTTGAGCCACTGCAGGCATGTGGCTGCATTTCCTAAATCAAAAGTGAATGTGTTCATTTGCTTGTTGGTTCAAACTCTGCAGCTTAGCCTAACCTACAAAGACTGAATCAATTCAACCTCGGGCTTTTTGACTGTCTGTACTTAGCCCTAGAGATTAATTCTTACGTTAGCATCTCAGTACATTTTTGACACCGTGGGATCTAGACCAAAAGTTGTAGTAGATTTTGCTTAAAGAATTAGATTTATTTCACCTTAAAGCAAGCAAAACAAATAGACTCACCTGCCAAGTATTTTGAGTAGAATTCACAGAAAATTTCACTTCATACTGAAGGGCATATGATGCAAGTACTAGGCTGGACCAACAGATCTTTACCTGCCATTTGTCTGTCATTTCTAGCTGCAGGTTCAAAGGAGGCTCAGGCTTTACTGTACAAAAACATTAAAATGATTACTACACCCACTGCAGTGATTGTTGTCAGTGTGTGCCAGCTATAGCATCTTTAAGACTTACTATTCAAATCAGCAACTTCTCTCCAAACATGTTTTCAGAAGTTTGTCGTCTACACTTCAAATATAGTTTCCATAAACAAAAGCAATGTCACGTAATATTATTTGCAAGCTGTATTCTAAGTAAAATATTTAAAAACCAAGCTATATTTAGCTTAATTATTTAGGGATCACTTTCTGGCTTCACAAGTCCCTGATTTTATAGAGCATAAATACTGGCTTAAATGTTTTCCTAAAAATGGGTAGGGTAGATATTCCCAAACAGTGTGCTGTGGCACACTAGTGTGCTGTCAAAAATGGTGTCATTGGCCCTCTGCTGGGCCTGCCCCACATGGCAGGAACAGGCCCATGAACTGGACCTAGGCCATGACCAACAAATAAAGTGTGCCACTAATGTTAAGTGAAGGGGAAAAAAGTGCCCCCCACATATCAAAAGTTTGAGAAACACTGGGTTATGGGCTAGGTATATTGTCCAGGCTATTTGCTCATCTCCTAAATAAGCAGAAGCTCTCTTAGCATCTTCAACCACAGGCTTTGAATGTAGCCCTGTGCATTCTACCATAATTTCCTTATTACAGCCCTCCTAGATGGAAAGAAATACTGAAGATTTCACAAGGCTTCAACAGGAATAAAAAAAGCCAAAGAGGAGAAAAAGTGGATGCTTAACCCAGAATGATAACTGCACCAGTATAAAAATCACTC